GAAAGGGTGGTCAGGCCTTGGCAGGGGCTGCCCAGGGAGGTTTGGAGTCCCCATCCCTGGAGGTGCCCAAGGAAGGCCTGGCCGTGGCACTCAGTGCTCTGGGCTGGGGGACAAGGTGAGGCTTGGGCACAAGGTGGACTTGATGGGCTGGAAGGGTTTTTCCAACTCCAGTGTTTCATGATTCAGTGATTCTGTGATATACACGGGTGCATATACTTGTGTATACATACATTCTTTCACACACATCCATGTAAGGTCCTATTTTGGGAGGAGTTCCCTCTGACAGCCTGGTGGCAGCTACGGAGGGTCCCAGAGGCCACAGATGGTCTGAGTGCTGCCTCTCAAGGCACTGATCAGACACTTGCTTGTTAATTAACCCAGATTTAAATTGTCTGGAGTCCTGACCTGAAACGTACTCTGTGACTGTAGGGAACCCAAGGGAGCCATGAGCTCGACAGGTAACACAGGTGTGTTGTGTCTGGGAACAAGCACAGGGGCGGATGGATAAAGAAAACAAAGCTGTGGGCAAAGGGAAAGTGGAGTTCAAGGTACATGTCCCAGAACATGTACAGGTACATCTCTCCATGTGGGATTCCTTCTGCTGCTCCAGGTGGAATTTCTTTAACGTGATGCACCTTCAGAGTGCTGTCAGATTACACCAGCAGAATCGATTTTAATTTTTAATAATTGCTTGAAAGTTTATTTTATGCTGCTGAGCTGGGTTATGGTTTGACCTGACACCTTATCTCCCTCCTTGATCAGGTAGATTTGTGTTGGAGAGCACACACCTTCTCTCCAGTGTGACACATCCGGGCTCATCCTGCTGGGTTTTCCCTTTCTGCTTTCCAGTATTGGTCCCCGCAGATATGGTGGAATTGCTACCTCAGGCTCTCTGGCAACTTCCAAGCACTGATTCAGTCCCTCCAGCCAAAGGGAGACCTCCAAAGAGAGTTTATTTACAAAATGAAGTGCACAATGCTGGCAAAAGTGTGGGTTTATCAATTAAAAACACCTTTAAACCACCTTCTTCATTGTGTGGCTTCAGATCTGGAGTCCCCTGGCCCCCCTTGGTCCCTCTGGAGAGGTTGGGGTGCTGTGATCCCGCACTGCACCTCTCAGGGGTTCTTGGCAGCAGAGCCACAGGGTCCTCGAGGCTGGAGGCACCTCCAGAGGCCACCATGTGCACCACCTGTGTCTCTGCTTACCTTGCTGTGCCCACGTCCCTGCTACACCTGTGTCCCTGTGTGTCCATGGCCCCTTTCACCCTACTGCATCCTCGTCCCTGCTGTACCAGCATTCCTGTGTGCCTTGCTGTGCCCGTGTCTCTGCTGGGCCCGTGTCCTTGTTGTGACCATGTCTCTGCTGTGCCTGTGTCCTTGTTGTGACCATGTCTCTGCTGTGCCCATGTCCCCATGTGCCTTGATGAGTGCTGCCACTTCAGGCTCTGCAATGCTCAGGAGTTCATCAGCTGGGTGAAATCCCACCTTCACTGGAGGGCAGGAGCGTGCTTGGGCTGTTGGACTGTTGCCACAAATTTATTTCTAAAGCATTTTTAGAGGTTTTCTGTAGAAAGGAAAGGCATATTATCCCCATTAGGGATTTCACCCACATCAGTTTCTTTAATACTCTTTAAGGGGTACCTGGGATTCTGTATTTGGGAGCAATTGAAATGATGCTGTTCTAAGGAGTGATATTTTAATCTCTTTTTTTAAAAGAGATGTTTAAAAGAAGGCTCAAAGCTCTACCTGGAGAGAATTCACAGTGGGCAGATCAACCTTTGCAGCCTTCGGGACAAGGGGTTGTCCAGGACAACAGCAAATCCTATAAACAGGAATAAACCAAAGCTTGTACCTTCATGGTGACAGTTTTCCAACCGCAAAACATGGTTTCTCCTTTTAATGCTCTCAATAGAAGCACAGCACCGTGCTCAGGGCAGTACCTGTGGCAGGGCAAGGGGCACAGGGACAAGGCACAGCAAAGGAAAGAAGGACATGGGTAACTACTGAGTATTTAGACAAAATGCAGAAAAAAGGCAGGCAGATGGCATGAATATTAGTGCATGGAAATGACTAACACTCTGAGAATTTCCCAATGTACTTCTGACTGGTTTGGGCTTGCTTTTATAATTAATTTATGGAAAGGACCTAAATTGGGAATAAACACAGTCTCACAAATCCCTCCTAATCTCTGCCTGTATTTTTGAAATGATACCCTGAAGGTATAGTTCCTCACAATGATTAAACTGCTTTTCTTTTAAGAATTAAAAGGGACCTTTTCCACACAGCCGTGTGGTGGGTGAGCAGCCAGACCTGCACTCTGACCTGCTCTAGATTTAATCTGTTGTTGGAAATGCCTGGATGGGGCGTTTCCCCACTGGACTGCTGGATGCCAAATCTGCCAATACTTTAATTTTGGATTCATGTATTTTAATGCAAAATATGATCTGGTGTGTTTTCAGCCACCTAATGACTCAGAAGCACTCAGTTATTAGCATAAATTTGGAAACTTCCTTGAAAATGAAAAAAAAAAAGTGTATTTAATTAATTGGCTGCTTCTCCCTGCCAGTGGAAGCCAAGCTCTCTC